CAACTTTCTCTTTTTTTTTTTTTTTTTTTTCCATTTTTCTTTTTTTTTTTTTTTTTTTTGTACCTTATTTGACATTATTGCTGTTCATGAATAAACTAACATAATTAATAACAAGAAAACTTCTTCAAAAAAGAATTGAAAAAAATTGAAAAATTTGAAAAAATGTGAAAGAAGTTTTCTTCCTCTGAAAAAATACCAAGTTACTGGAACTTAGACATAAATCTTAAACATAAGCTCACTGTTAAAACAGACTATGGCTGAYGGTTCTAGAGCTGCAGCTCCATTAGCAGGTTTCATTTATAGTCCTTTTGACTGCAGGTCACAGTGTGACATACGTAGAAAGTAGTGAGTTTTCCAGAAGTAGCCCATGTGGCAGGTACTGTCTAACTGGGCTGTTTCTTTTTGTAACCAACTTCTAAAGCAACATCATGGCAACACAGGCAAAACTTTATTCTCAGAAAATGATACTTGTAGTAAATCTGCATGGGCTGATCCTAAATGGTGGTTCTCAATCCACTTGTTTTGGTGTCTTTTCCCCAGGGAATTACTTACAAAAAAGCTGTAGAGCAGGGAATTGGYCATGCACAGCTCCCACTTGGAAACTTTGTCAAAATGAACAGTCGGAAAGTGTTAGCTGTCAATCACGGTAAGTTCTAAATCATAAAATRATTACATTATTTTAGAATATACCTRTAATATGCACAAATTGAACTSTCAAAWTGTGCATTGTAGTGCAGATACTACCTGTTTTGKTAGGTTRTTACTACTTGAATCCAGTTGCCTTAAGGATACTGTAATTGCCCTGACCTTTAAATAATATAGAAATATTTAAATGTAAAAGATGGTGTATTGGCCATTTAGAAGTGCACATTGTATCCTGTTGGCTTGTCTGAGGAGTGTACGTGTGGCTTTCTTACCATCCTGGTCTTGTTTCCAGGCTTACTGTGTGAGTAAAATGTTGGAAACTATCCAACATTGTATGTATTTTATGCCAGGGGAGAATTAATGTTTGTGATGTTTTCACCTCTTTGGACAACTTTGTTCAGCAGTAACTGCCTCAGTAGACTTTCCTGAGCTGGTATCAGCAGTATTCCAACTGCTGAGCTTTCATCACTGTATTTTTACCTCATTTCCTGGTTCTGATTGARGTATTCAGTTGTTTAACCAAGCCTTGAATCCCACTGCTTTAAATTTTCAGCTTTATTATTAGATTGTCTTTGTGACAGTAAACAAAAATACATGCAAAATGGAGCCTACTCAGAYCTTGATGGAAATTCTTGACGTGGTGTTGAAGTCTTTATTGTGCCCYACTGCATGTTCTTTAGTTTATCTTACCTTGCTTTATTTCAAGTTTATTTTTTAATGTAACACATCACTCCATGTTAACTTYATTTTCTTAAAGTGCCATTGATTAATGAGGTAGGTATTTGCATGACAGTAACAAGTATTTAAGCATGGAGGAAAATGGAGTATAACATGGGACTTAAAAATTACCAAACCCTATGCATTTGTAAGATTTTACATGTTTCTACAATTTGATCTTTGACTGTTACTTCATATAGAAAGAAAGAGCTAATTATAGCTAATTATAGGAGGGGTCAAAATCTGTGTTAAAGTGCATCCACAGCAGGATTCCTTCCAATATGTGAAAGCATTGGTGCCTGTACAGAAGGCACTGGTGCGACCTGAAGTATTGGGGGGACATTTCTGTTAGCTGCTGAGAGAAATACTGTCATGCAGCTGGAGACTCAGGGAGTGTTTGGCTTTAGGCTGCAGCACAATTTTCTTGTCTGTTCCTGCCTGTGCTTCATCAGCTCTGCTCTGAGGATGCCACAACAGAATGGACATAAACCTTGTAAGGATGGATTTGGGGGTGTGTTGCTRTTGGGAATTCACTTACCTCCCTGTAAAAGAGCTGATGGACTTTTCTGATGTTGCAGTGTTTGAGATAATCCTTGCATACCTGGAGAAAAGAGACTGGAAGGAAGCATTTTTCAGTGTCCTGCCACAGAGGAAAGGGGCTGTTCCTCTGGGAGAAGCCAATGATCCATCCACACWTGCTCTGTCTGGAAAAGAAGATAAAGACAATGACTCGGACAGCAACTAGGCTTCAGAATCAGATGATGGGAAAGATGGGACATGCAGTTTTTGGGATAAAACTGGGACATGAAGTAGTTACACTTCAAAGAYCATCTGCTGCCCTTGTAATACTGAACTGTTTCAGTGCTCAGTAGTCCCAGAGCTGTTTCTGTGCATGAAGGGTAAAGTTAAATCCAGGTTTTTACTCTGAAACTTCAATATAATAGCGGGTCTTTTTAAAAAAGAAATTATTGGCAAATTAAGCATTTATTTTTTTCCCAGGGAAGCTGTTTAATTTAATTTTTTATATTATTTTTTTATACATACAAAGTTGGTGYAAAAGCCAAGAGCATTAGCAGTTACAATTTTAATGTACAAATTCTTCTCTCCATTTCTGCTCAAAGTTTCCTTAAAAGCAATGAATGACAAGTGTTTCTTTGACTCCAAAACCTGTACCACTAGTGCCTGTTGCAAAGTGTGCATGAACATCAAAACAAAAATTCTGATTTTCCTGAGCATCTCAACAGACAATCACAGACAACTGAACTGCCTGATTTATATATTGTGTTTAGCTGGGGTCAGTAGGTGAAGTATGAGTGTGGGTTTAACCAGTGGTTTATATTTGAGCTTGAGTGGGATGGGTGTCAACACAGGTGCAAATCATGTGCCTTGGTTGGCACATGGTCCACATTGAGGTGTCACAATCACTTTAGATTTTTTCTTCATCTTAGCAAAATCTATCACACAGACTCAGAACAACACCAGGAGATAGGAACTCTTCCATACAGGTCACTTAAATTCAGTATTTCTGTGTAATCACATGATCCTGTATGTGTTTTATTGTCTATCAAATCTTTTTCCTTTAAAAAAACAAGTCATAATCTTAGTTTTGGCTGGATGTTCTGGTTCATCTTATTCCTAACTGACTTTAGTGCTTTGGCAAAGTAGTGAAGTGAACACCTTGGAAGTGAAACTACACTTTTTTAATGGCCAATAGAAAAGTTTCTCCTGTTAAAAGGATGTAATTTTTTAGACTTTACAAAATGCTGCTTGCTTTGTTGCAGAAACTAGGTCAGCTTTTTCATAAAAGCTTTGCTGGTTTTATTTCTGTAACAAAAAAGGCAGCATAAGTACACTCGGCATGTATCACACTGATTGTCTCATCAAAATGTGGAAAGCAGTGAAATTGCAAGGCTTACACCTTTAMAGCTGAGGTTCTGCATGTTAATGAGATGTTCTGCATCTTAATGTTAAGCACCTATTAAACCTCATCTAAGACTCCTCAGCCTGTTTAAGGTTTCCCTAAGACCATTTCATACATGTGCCTCATTTACTCAGGCTTGAGAGTGCAGGAACAAATGGCATAGACAAATTGSGGATTTTTAGAGACTGGCTGAAAGGGTTCCAAAGGATCCTATGGAATTGTTATGCAACTTAAAGCTCAGCCTGTCTTACAACTTTATCAGTGAAATTAGATACACTCACACACATACAGGTGTTTTTAAATTAAGCTGTTCAAAGCTCAAGCTTACGTGCTTATGGAGAAATAGAAGGAAAACATGTTCTGATATGTCGCTGTTCAAAGGCTGCTCATGCCAACAGCACAATGTCACAACAGCTTGGTGACAGCTGCCTGCTGCTTGTCTCAACCCCTTGGTCTTCCTGTCCCCCATCACAATCAGTGTGGCCAGCAGCTCAAGGAGGTGATCCTCCTGCTCTCCTCAGGTGAAAGCCTGCATGGAGTGCTGCATCCAGACTTGTGGCTCACAACATMTGGAGCCTATGGACCTGTTTGAGCGAGTCTGCAGGGGGGAATGAAGATGCTCAGAGTACTGGAGCACCTCTCCTGCAGACAGGCTGAGAGATCTGGAGCTCTTCAGCCCAGGAGAAAAGAAGGCTCTGGGGAGACCTTACAGCTCCTTCCAGTAACTGAAGGAGGCCTACAGGAAAGCTGGAGAGGGACTTTTTACAAGAACATGTAGTGATAGGGTGAAGGGGAATGGCTTTTAACTAACAGGGTGGGTTTAGATTAGGTATTAGGAAGAAATTCTCCACTATGAGGATGASGATTTTTTCATTTTGGATTTAGGTACTTTATGCAAGTTATAGCACTGTTTGGCATTCTGCTAGCTTGTGGCATGCTACTTAAAAAAGCACATTTATTCCTCATTTTCAATCTACTGACCTGGCTATTCTCAGTATTTTCAAGATGGTCACTTGCATATTTCAGGCATGGCCCACTAACACATTACACTGGAAGGAGAGATAAATCACTGCACTGTTTTATAATAAGAAAYGGAATTTGTTTCTGATAACAGGAATAAATATTTACATGCAGAGCTCTAGGGCACTTAAAGATCCTACCTTGAACCAGCTTTAGCTGCACAAAGTTAATGAAACTGTAGAAAAACACGCAGCAAAGTTCTCTGCTTCACCCTGCTGTCCTCAGGGAAGATCAGCTCTCACATGCTTGTCTAACCAGGACTTACAGACCTCCAGTGTGATTTGTTCCTGGGCCACCATGACGTTGAAGAACTGAACATTAAAAAGAAGCTGCACGGAAGTCCTAGAAGAACGGGATACCTGTGTTTCACCACCAGGCGTCATCGCTGTGCTTAGAAAAGCTCTGACTTCCATCACTAAGCTTTGTAGAGTTTCCAGTACTGCCAGAACTATTGCTCGGCAATGCTGAGGCAGGATACATCCAGAGATCTTTAACCCTTTGTAGTAAAGCATTAAAAAGGCAATAAAGAAGGTATGGGGCTCAAGGAACCTGAAAGAAAACAGAAAATAGGAAGGGGATATGGCAGAAAGTCAAACCTCGCTGAAATGGGCAAACTTCCTTTTAGTGGCATGCAGTAGGGAGGTCACAGCTAGCTGCCATATGTAATCCCRTTGTTCCCTTCCCACTGAGCCTCAGTCCCCTCAGTTCATATTTCTGAAGCCAGGGACCCAGCAGTGTTCACCTGCATCCATGCAGTGGGAATTTCCCAAACACTGCGCTCCTGTGGGTTAGTGTACTATTGCCCTGCTTGTCCCTTTCCTGGATTCAGGTAATTTTACCTTTGATTTGGTTTCCACATATCCCATGTCATGATGTGCTCATTGACCCTATGTTAGTGTATGGAGCAGTAATGTTTGATTCTAGACATGACTCTGCAGAAGAGCAACTGAATTATTTGAGTGGACAAGACCCTCTCTGAATAGTCTCATCTCAGAAGTTCTTGAAGCTGTCATGAAGCTGACAATGATGGTGTTTTCTGCACTGCAAGCTGGCATGCTGCACAGGGATGTAGCTGGCTTATTTTGGAATACTGCTTATTCCAAAAACCTGTGGGCATGACAAGGCACATGAGCTCAGGGCAGTCATGGGRCAATGTGACTGCCAGCTGTGTAGGATGTGGCATTCCTAAAATCCTTACAGCTTGAGGATGAGGTCAGGGAAGTTTGAAGAGTTCCAGTGTTTCTTTGATKTAAACAGAAATTTTTATTGCTCAGGCTGTGCTGTAGATCACGCTGAAGATCACAGGTTCACTGAACCATCATTGGTGTTGGTTTATATTATTGTGAAGTATCCATTTATTCTGCRGGAGGATTTTAAAGTAAGTTATGAGTAAGCACACATTCTTCTTGTCATTATTTGTTCTGAAAAGCAGAGATGAACTTCAGTATGACTTTCAAATCTAAAGCTGAATATACTTCGGCCTATCTTCGAAATTTGTACCTTAATTATCTCTCTTTCAAGAGGGTGGCTATGTTCACTGGAACAACAGCATCTACTACTGCCAATTCTATAGCAAAATAAAATTGCTGATTCATATTCATTCCCTTTTGCTCCATTTTTACTTCCAAGTAATGGATGTGCTTTTCTCATTCTTGTTTGCGTTGTTTGGCTGTTATATTTTCAGAGGTCCAAAAGGAAGGAAAGGCATTATTTAAGAAAGGAGTGTACATACTTGATTGAGTACTTTCCTTGGATATTGTTTTCCCCTTCAAAATCTTCTAATATTTGCTCTAAAGCCACCTACTTTTATAAGCACTGTTTTGCTAATTTGCACCTTCCACTTTTGGCTTTTTTTCAGCTTACTAAAATGAATAAGGCATTGTCCTGTGAGCGGTTGACTTATTTTCTGTGTGTTTTGGAAAGGTGTTTATTTCAGGATGTCTTTGTTCATGTTCTCACAAAATTGGATGCCATCCCATATGTGCTTAATTCAGCTCCATTGCCTTGTCATGCACATTTGTATAAACTTTGGATATGATCCCTAAGCTTTTTGAAAGGCATAACCTTCACAACTAGCCCTGACAGCTAGTTCTGAATCTTACCTGCTGCTCAATCTCTGTGCTTCAACACTATCAAACACTTCAACACCCCCTTGCAGGGCTTTGTGTTTTGTGAACCTAATCTTTTGGACATCCTTAAATGTGTGGGGGGAAAATACAAAGGGGTTGCAGCAGTCACAGCTTCTATACCTTTTAGGGTGGGACTTCAGAAATGTTGCTTATTTCTTCCTATCTTCTACTAACTTGTGTCCCAGAGCTTTTGTGTTACCAAGTTCTGAAGTGACTCATGAAAGAGTAACTTGGGAATTGCTATCATGCAGTAGGAAGAAATTTAAACACCCTCCAGAGGGCTTATTTATCTCTACAGCTAAATCACTGAAAGAAAGAAACGTACCTTGGTAAGCTTAAAAATCAACAGGGTAGATAAGGAAAAAGTAACCTATTTTAAAACTGCTGAAGTTTTAGCTAAAGCTAATATGCATTTTATTATTTGTAGGACAGAATGTGGTAACTGCCCTTACAAACTTTTTTTTTCTGTAAAGAGTTAAGTCACTTGAGCTGTAGTTAAAATAGTCTCCTATTAAATTGAGTCAGGTTCAGTGCAGAACTCATTTCATGTTAAAAGAAGGCTKTTTCAGAAAGCACTAGGTCTCTCCACCTGGAGTCACTGTCATGCATTGCTTCAGGAAAGCAGGATGCAAGGCTACTCAGCTCTACAGGAGTACAGAGCGGGAAGCAGGCTGTGATGCCTCTCAAGTGGCAGTAGAGAAGAACAACTTTCCACTACAAGTGCCTTGTGGTCAGAAACTGTAGATATGGCTACAATCTGCTGAGCATGATCAATGTTTCGTAACATTTGCCACAGTTGCAGTCCCCAATTAAAGATAGTCCGAAGTCGCAAGAACAGGCCTTTGCCCACTGTTTCTTTTGTGTGCAAGCTCACTAGCCATGAACACCTCCATTATGTTGTCTTCAGCCTCTGACACACATTTCACAGCAATCTGCTGAGGTTAATAAATCACTGGAGAGGAGGTATTAATGCATCATGTTCAGTTGCAGAAAGTGAGATAAAAAATTGATAAAGTAATTATGTATCGTATTTCCACAGAGTTACAGCATACCCTGAGTTGGAAGAGACCATCTCAAAGTCCATCTCTTGGCCTGCACAGGGCAGCCCCAAGAGTCCCATCCAGTGGTGCCCTGGGGAGCCTGTTCAAGTGCCCAACCACCCTTGGGGTAAAAAACCTTTTCCTAATATCCAACCTAAACCTCCCCTGACAGGATTTCATGCCATCTGCTTGCGTCATGTCACTGGACACTAGAAAGAGATTTTAACTGCATATGAAGGAATACAACATGTAGATAAACATAAAGAAAAATTCTCTCCATAGTGAATGGTGCTAAAAGGGCAGAGGTTTAGGGATCAGCTAAATATTTTCTGGCAAAGGGCTGAGAAGGGGCCTGTGCAAGCAAGTTGTAAAGGGGTGGCACTGTGGTTTCCCTGCATGCCAGGGGCAGTGTATGCCCTGAGCTGAAGCCTCACCCTCACTTATCTTTAGGTACYGGGCGGAGCAAGGCAAATAAAGCAGCTTCTGCAATATGGTTATGCAAGTCTGCTCGTGCTTCACTGGCACCCTGTCCAGTCTCTTTTGTTGCCACCTTTTGCTCAAACACCATGACACCTGTCTCTGCATAGGATGCAGACAGGATCCACTGTCTGATCCAGTGTTCCCAGTTGGAGGCACCTACTTTGGCCAAGGGACGTGGTTTCCAAATAGCCTCAGCTCTATTCCCTGACCAAAAAAAAAAAAAAAAACCAACCAAAACCATACCCTTGATATGCATATAGCTAAAGATAGGAGGAAAGTTTTGAGGGGAAAGGAGGCACAAAGGAATATGAGAAATAAACCAATACAGAAAAGGGATGGGAACTTAAGATGAATCATAGAATCATTAAGGTTGGAAAACACCTTTAAAATCATCAAGTACATAAGAAGGAAGGAACGGAGAAAGATAAATGCTGAGGACTAGAATGGATTAGAAATACTGATATAAATTTTTCTGGGAAGTGCAAATCATTAAGTCTCACCTCCTAAAAGGAATAGAGAGCTTTGGCTGGAACTCAGGACAAAAAAACTGGAGAGTTTATGGTCTTGGAAATAGAGGCTAGGAGTTCAGGAGGATTACAAGGATGTTGTGAGTTTTTGCAGGGACAAAATTAGAAAGGCCATAGCCCAACTAGAACTTGATCCAGTTACTGTCATAAAACACAATAAAAATGTTTCTATAAATACTTAACAAGAGCAGAGCCCCATCATATGTAACAGTGACTTGGGAAAACAAACAATGTAACTCCAAATGTCCATGCCTTCCTCCTTCTTCTCCACCTTATATACTGAGCATGAAGTCATATAGTCAGGAATAGCCTTTTGGTCAGTTTGGGTCACCAGACTGGGCTGTGTCTCCTACCAACCTCCCAGGCACCCCAAACTTCYTTGCCAGTTGGCCTTATGAAAATCAGAAAAGGGCTCGGCTCTGTAAACCATGCTTAGCAATAACAAAAATATCCCTACATTATCAGCCTTATGTTCAGCACAAATCCAAAACCCAGTCCCAAACCAGCCACTGTGAAGAAATCTAACTCTGTCCCAGCCAAAACCAGCACAGAGGTTCGACAAGGCCAAGTGCCAAGTCCTGCTCTTGAGTAACAACAACTCCAGGCAGAGCTATAGGAAAAGCTGCCTGGAGGAAAAGGACGTGGGAGTGCTGGGTGACAGTGGCTGAACATGAGCCAGTGTGTGCTCAGGTGGCCAAAAAGGCTAGTAGCTTCCTGGCTTGGATCAGAAATAGTGCAGCCAGCAAGACTAGGGAAGTGAAGTATCATGAATTAATTACAGTCATACAGGTAAACATGAAGAAGGGCTATACTTAGTAATTACTAGTCAAGTTATATGCAGCATTTTATCTCTTTTTTACTTATTTCTGAAGGAAAAAACTTGATTTCAGAATGCTGGGCATAATTTGGAAACAGTTGAGGCTTGAAATCCTCAGCAAAGGCATGCAGTGCTGACCTCCACCCAATCCCTTTCACCAGCCTGTTGTGCCAGGAGAGGGCAAGTGTGTGGGCATGTCAGCAGTGATGGGGGCTGTGCTTGCAGGTGTTGATGGAACCGACAGAACAGGCACTCACAAATCAAGCAGGGTGCTGCATGTGGTAGGAAACACGCATTCTGGCACAGCACTTCTTACTGACCACTGATTCTTGTTTTCCCATCAGCGTTAGAGGCGCATTGTCCTTGGACATTGTGAAGTGAAAGCCGTTCCAACAGATTAATGAGTAGCTGGACTGTMAAACTAAGAATTCAGGAGCAGGTGAAGCTTCAGCCACCCAGTCAGTGTATGTTTCTTAAGCAGCTTGTAGAATCCCATGTTTTAATATMTGAGCTTGGCTCTTATGAGTGTCAACAAACTTCAGCAGCAAAGGCTTCATGTTCTCACTGTGTCCCTGCAAGTGAATTCAAGTGCCACTCTTCTCTTTGCACCTCCAGTGTCATTGAGAGGAGTGGGTTTGGATGCCAGCTCCCAGGGAGGTGGAAAAGGGGAAGTAGCTTCCACTCGGGGCTTTTGCTTTGTCCCATGATGTTGAGGGCAACAACAGGTAGGCTGCAAAAAAGGGTAGGGAAGAGCATAACAAAGGAATCAGGAAGACGGAMGCACTGAAAGAGTGAGGTTTCATCAGATGAGTGGTTTATTCTCATTCTAGCACTTTCACTGATTAAGCAAGGGGTGGGGCTCTGAGCTGGGAGRCTATAAGATCAGAGCAGTTCACTTACAGGAGCACTTCATATTGCCAGCTTCCAGTGTGCTGGAGAGGACTTGTGGTATCAGCAWCCCAGCTGCTGACTGAGTTTGTGGCGCAAGAAATCAGCAGTGGCAACATTTGAAACAGACACCTGGGACAACATGAGCACGGCAGGCAAAGTAAGCAACATTTTGTATTCAGAAAGGTTCTTTGCTGCAGCTGAATAAGACATATTTAAATGTGAATTCTTTGCAGGGACACTCTAAATCCTGGTGGTATCGCACATATTAGAGTTTAGGATGAAGTTGGTACAGAAGAGCTGCCTTTATTTGCAGACTGTTGTGTTTTCCTAGGAAATGGTTGTTAACTCTTCAAGCCAATAGTTTATTTAGGCAATGTAAGGTAACAGCACCAATATGAGAATAACGTCCCCTCTGGGCTAGCAAACTATTTTTAATTTCTGATTGGATAGTTTAAAATATTGTAGAATGTACTAAATGTTTGGATCAATGTATTTATCTGCTCTACCAGTTTCCATTCTGAGATCCTACAGTAGTTCAAACTATTTTTAGTATCTTTAAAATTCATATCAGCTTGTTTTTTAAAAAAGCATATATAGCTAATATTGTGTTAAATTTTGGGGTGGGTTGTGCTGACATTAGGACAGCCATTAAATTTAAATATGCATATAACAAGTCTCACACTTAAGTTAATGAAGACCAAAAGTAAATTTCATGTGCAATGCAATACTGAGCAGGGATTCAAGTGAGTAGTTACATCTTCACTAGAAATTAGATGACAAGAGAGATATAGGTTAATACCAATACATGTTCCTTCTTGCACTGCTGGYAAGATGCTAACATACACCCAGGGACCTGCAAGATGGGTTAAGGGACAAAGAACTAGAAGTGGAAAACAACTGAAAGCCTGTACCTTGCTGGAATGTGCCTTAAGAAAGTACCAGGATAATTTGCTGTTACTGACAGCTGTCTTCACCATTCCAAAAACCAAACACAACACAAGAAAGGAAAAAAAAATGCTCTCTTTAACTCTGAGTTACTGCAAGTGCAAAATTACTTGTAAATTCAYCAAGTTCAGTTCCTCTACTCAGCACTGGATGGAGCATGGTAAATGAAGTGTTGTGATGTAACAGCCTTGTTTATCCTGGAGTAACACGGGGAGTTACAGTGCAATTTATGTAACCAAGCAGCGCAGTCCTCGTGCCCTGTGCAAGGGTGTGTTCTACACCTGCCCTCCCTGCCGCAGTAACTTGCACAGCTGCTAGAAAACACGAGCAGAAAAAGAACTGGTAAGCCAGTGCTTGTCTYAGCAGATGAAGTGGGTGATAGTGTGCTGTTGCTACATCTGTTGTGGGATCATTTTTCAATGTGTAACAGGTCACAAGGACTAAACAACACACAGCTAACTAATGTCTGATTATAGGAGAGATTTGTTTGTTCTTGGCAATCCACAGTTCTTGGACACCTTTGTTCACAGAAACACTACATGTGCTTTGTATGTGCAAGTCATGAAATCGTCACTGTGCTATGTGGGGTACAATATAAATATATAAACGGTATATTTAAGTAAATTTTTTGGGAAATGTGGCCCTTTAAAAATGTGACCTTTGACCACACTTTGAATTTTTCACTAATCACACTTGCATCTAAACATTAAATTTAAATTTAGTGCAAATATCTCTTGAGGCAYTTTTTTTCAAAGCATTGTGTCCATCCCGCTCTGTGTCTAGCTGCTGAAAGTGSACTATTTTATTTCATATGTTTAATATTTCCTGGTAATTATTTCCTTTGTTGCCAGTTTTCAGTTTGTAGATAATCAGACATTATTTTTACTTCTACTTCAAAAGCTTTGATACTAAAAGTTTGTTTGTTTGTTGTTTTCCCCTGCAAATTTTGCAGCACACTGGTGTTAAGTTGTCCCAATCACACAGGATAAATATGTGTATGCTTAACTTCTTGCTTGCTTGCGTGGATTTGAATCCCCCCCATTTCCTTCTCAAAATAATGCCACCCAAACACTTGCAGTCAATAGACATAACAGAGTGACTTAGGACTTAATAGTGTACCACTCAAGAAAATCACATTTCAGGGCTAGGGGTGGTTTAACCATCTAGGATGAGATCTTTAAACTCCTCTAAGGAAGACCACTAAGGAAGGACAGGAATAAATATGGGGACAGAGAGTTTGCACTGCTTTTGAAAACACTACAGTTGAGCTTGGAAGGAGAAAACCTGTTTGAGAACATGGGATGAAGTGTGGACAATGCTCCTCTCTCTTCAGAGTGCACTTTCTCTCAGTGTCAGATACTGACAGTACCAGGGCAAAGCCTGAAGAACTAATGGACAAACTTTAGTCTAACAGACAAAAAAAAAAAGCTGTCTTGGGTAGCTGGGTAGTAATCCCACCTGAGTTAAATATCCCTTCTAAGAAGAAAGGTATCTTAGCATGAAATGTACCTTAGCATGAATAATATTGCACTAAGTAACTAGAGGGATATTTGAGATTACCTCTTGTATTACCACATCAGTTTGCACAGGTGTCCTTTCAGCCATCACCTCATGGCTTAACTTAGGCTCTACTAAAAGGTTTATAAATCTGTACTAAGCTCTGAATTCCATTTTTAGCAATTTTGTCAGTTCCAAATACAGACAATTCTAGGCAATACAGACTTKAGCATGGCCTGATAAGTGACATCATTTAGTGTGCCACTTTCAAGAAGACACAAATATACACAAGTAATCCACACAGCAAAAAAAATCCACCAAGGAATTTAGAGAAGGAGCAGTGAGAATGGGTAAGATATCCCATTATCCTAGGACACAATTACACATGCTGCTGAAAACCTGATGTGACAGAAATATGAGCAAAGTCAGACATGATCTTGGTGGGGGAAAAATAGGCTTACACTGACCTTTGGTGTTGACTATTTTGCTGTTTTGTTTGGGGCTTTTTCCTGTAGTTTTCCTTCTCCACAAATAAGAGCAGGAGTTTCACATGCAGGAATGAAAAAATCTGTCTGCGGTGACTTGAAAATMCCATTTTCTTTGCTCTTTTTGCAGGTTATTAAATGCAAGGCAGCAGTGCTGTGGGAAGCCAATAAACCATTTAGTATTGAGGAAGTGGAAGTTGCCCCACCAAAACAACATGAAGTTCGCATAAAGGTACTAAAAATAAAATTTAGAACAATTCCTATGATTTGCATTCTTTCTTGCTTTTTATCARAATTAGTTCTATAAATTTTTAAGGCCCAGATAAAAACCATTCTATTAATAAGTAGTTAACAATCAGTGAGCTCCTATGTAACATGTTTAYTAAATTTGATAATGAGGTTCTTTAAAAAAAATAATTTAGGCTTGGATTTTTTATTAACTGAAAAAAGCTGAAAAAAAATTATAGTACAAAATTACAGTACAAGGCAAAAATCAGAATTTTCTGTAGCATGGAGGAAGAAAATTTCTTCTACTTTGAATCTGTGCTCGGAAATAGCTCAGTAGGGCTGGGAGCTTCCTYTTTTACCTGGTTATTGGCCTCAGTGGAATTCAGTAGCTGCCTTTATTTTTGAGTAGTTTCAAGTGTTACACAAGTGAGGAAAATCCTTTAATGAGGTTGACAAATCCATTTGTCAGAATAAAAGCTGTAAATAYATACCTGAATGTTTCAAAAATAATACTTCTGTTCCCCATACAAGAAAAGGTGAAATGTCATATAAACACTAATTGTGGCTTTAATTTTTTAAAATGTAACATATGCCAATATTTAAAAATATACACAATACAATAATACAATTATTATGTAATTATCTATAAAATAAAATCATTGTATAATACATAATTTATGTAAGTATTATATATTGTCATATAATACAAATATAGTAAATATAGAATATACATCATATTTCTATGTTTATAGATAATATGTTGATTTGTATTTATATAATAGTACACACTTTTATTTTTATGAATTTATATAAAATATCAGGAATAATTTACTTTACTCTGYTCTCCCTATATGATTGTATTGTTAGAACACTGGTTCTACAGATAATCARTAGGACTCCCTACACAGCTCAGTACTGCATAGCAAACATTCACAAAGGATGTAGATTAAATTTTAATACATACCAGGTAAATCTTAAATCACACAACCAAAATTGTTTTAACTGTAGATTTATTGTGTGCATATTGGATTTTGGAGGGAAGCAAGTGGCTTCTCCAAATGCAGAATATCATTTCACTTCTTAATATGGCATAACATAGTTAAATGCAGTAATATTCTTGTCTTTCCTGTAAATCAGATCATGGCCACAGGGATCTGTCGCTCTGATGACCACGTGATAACTGGCGCACTGGTTATGCCTTTTCCAATAATTCTTGGGCATGAAGCAGCGGGTGTTGTGGAGAGTGTTGGGCAGGGAGTGACTTCAGTCAAACCAGGTATGAAACAGCACTGAAAACAAACCCTGTGCTGAGTTTTCAGACTCCTCCTTAAGTCAAAGATTATGACATTCATGAGTATTTTTATTGCACAGGAAAATACTCCMATTTCAATTCTTTTCAAGGACACCGCAAAGGATATTAACCTGCTGTTTATGCCTTTCTGTGCTCCCAATCTTGATTGACTTCCCGATTTTCTATTCAATTTCTTTTGGTTTTGGCAAAAACATCTGCAGCTTGCTTTTCACCTGTGTAGTGCTTTTCCTGTCATGGGACAAGAACGTAGATTCTTTGCTGTTGTTCACAGGAAATCAGCATTAGCTGCAGGTTCTTTGAACACAGTTTATACAACTAATCTTTCTCAAAAATAAGTCAAAGAAAGCACAAGACAACAAACATGTCAAAGCACCTTCTTTTAATTCTCCTAACAGCTAAATAATCCATTGACTTCAGTAGACCAGAACTTAGGTCTCACTTCACTTTGAAAGCATCAGGGCACAGTTGGGATGCCCACCCTGCTGCAGGCTTTGCATGTGGGCAGCACCAGTGCAACTGAAGCAGCACTGCTTCCTGAGGTTTGGATTGCTCTGAGGACACTCATCTGGACCAGCTGCTCCTCTCCCTGCATTCTCTTTGAACCACAGCGCATAGGTAGTGAAACATCCCCATTTTCAGCCAACTGCTGCAAGATGAGATGGGATTCCTGTACACTTTTATAGGACTGATAAAATTCTAACAAGGGCTAAATTATTAAGAGAAAATACGCATGAAAAAAAATCTACACAGAAGTGTCCAATTTCCAGGCAGTTTGTTATGATACCCAAGTAGTTCACTTTTAACACCTCTGTACTTACAGTGCATTTGTCCATACTGACAAGTATGAAGTTTGTCCAAAGCAGGTTGCTAKGTATAAGTGATAGCTGTAGCTAATTTCTCTCTTATGTCTGCTTCATAGATTGCTCTGTTGTCCTATTCTAGCTGCCCTCTGTTTCCAGGTGAGCAGAAATAGTAGGCCTGAACACAAACATGCACAAAATCCCATTTCTCAGATGTTCCTTAATTTATGCCTCCAAGTTCTAAATAAACACTTCAAGATGTGCAACATTTCTTTAGCAAAATTATTATCAAGCCCATGTTACAGTTCCAAGTTAACTCAGGGTTGGGGTAGTGGGGGCATTTATTGTTCTGTAGGCATTTTTCATTTTTTAGTGGAAATCAAAAATTTTCATTGACTTCCAATGTGTCAAGGATTAGCCACATTTTAAAATTGCCAAATCATAAACTGGTCTGTATTAGGAAATACGTTTTTAGAGATTATTAGGGATTTACCATATATAATTGCTGTGAAAATTGCATAGGAGTAAAAAAATGGATTGGGAAGCTACAAGCTGCTTTGTTAATCACATAATTGTGCTAGAGAATTACAGATGTTGGCACCATTGCTTCTCAGACAAGTGTTTCACCTACTTTTACTCAATGCAACAGCAATAGCACTGCTATATAGCAAAGATGGTCAAAAGGATAGGCAAATTAATGCTTAATTCCCCACTCTTTGTATGCACATTTACAGCCCTGTTATCTTGGCACTCCAATCTGCTGTCCTAGTGGATGTCAATTTTTATCTCAGTTTCTTTACTAAAAGGTGTATTACTACTTTCTTTTTACACAGAAGATGCAATAAACTGCTGAATAAGTACTTCAGAAGTGTCAGTAGATAACATGCTTTTATAGCATGTCTGACTCAGTTCTGTGTAAAGACACCAGGAATTTTGCATAACAAAATTAATTGCCATAATTTTGCCCTAGTTATGYCCTTTATATAAAACACAGAGATATGGTTCATCTTACAAATTCAGCAGAAGGAAATAAAACCATCACTACATTCCTAGAGCACATTTGCCTGGGGATTAAATACACTTCCTTCATGTTTTTACCTGCATGCTTCTTGTTTGTCTTTTTAATCCTCTGTCATTACTGCTTTATTTCTAGGAGACAAGGTTATTCCACTCTTTGTTCCACAGTGTGGTGAGTGCACGAACTGCTTAAGCACCAAGGGTAACCTGTGCATTAAAACTGAGTGAGTTTTCCCAGATTTCTTATAACCCTAATTTGATTTTACTTTRTACAAAACTGATTACACACAACAAATTTCACTTGCCATTCTTTCTGGTCATCTTTCAAACAGCCTTGGTACAAGTGCTGGATTAATGTCTGATGGCACAACTAGATTCACCTGTAAAGGAAAAGCARTTTATCATTTTCTTGGTACAAGTACCTTCACTGAATACACAGTAGTGCATGAATCTGCTGTGGCCAAAATCGATTCTGCTGCTCCTCTGGAAAAAGTTTGTCTAATTGGCTGTGGATTTTCAACTGGTTATGGGGCTGCTCTGCAGACTGCCAAGGTAAATATTGTGGTGGGTGTTTCTGATGTTTTGTGGGGTCTATTCAAGATTGTGTGGCTTGCAAGTGGGTTGTCAGCATGGCAGCCAGGAGGTATAGACTCTCTTTAATTCATTGTGGAAAGAAGATATTGTTCTTTGCCTGCTTCAGATTGTCTTTAGGGTACTCAAAAGCCTTCAATTCAAAACCCAGTAAAATTACTTATTATCATTGCTAAAGTTTTCTTTCATAGCTTTATCACTCCTAGAAAAATGTCACAACAGAGTTAATTTCTTTTATTGTAACAGAAGTCTAGGAACACATAGAAGGCTACATATGCAACACTCACAATTTGTAGCAATACATGAATGTGACTTTAAGAGCTGGCACTGTCTCCAGTGGAGTGACAATACAGATCTTAACACCACTGGAATATAAAGCATCGTTAAAAAAAAAAAAATACGGTGTGTCTAAACCTGAAGCTGAGACATATAATGGAAACCTGGTCTCAGAAATGTGTTTTAGGAACAATTTCTCTTAGTCACACATAACATTATAACAGTATGGCTGGCTACTGCACTAGCAGGTATGCATGTGCAAATTCCTTCTCAGCAGGTAACATCTAAATTRCAAGAAGTGGCTTAGGTGAAATCATGTTGATAATGAGGAAATGCACTGTACTTTCCCTGGACTGTAACAATATGCCATATTTACGTGGTTATTATAATAGGTGGAACCAGGCTCCACCTGTGCTGTTTTCGGCCTTGGAGGAGTTGGCCTCTCCGTTATCATTGGCTGCAAGGTGGCTGGAGCTTCCCGCATCATTGCCGTGGAYATCAATAGTGACAAGTTTGCCAAGGCCAAGSAGCTGGGAGCCACYGACTGCATCAACCCTAAAGATTTCAAAAAGCCCATCCATGAAGTGTTGATCGAAATGACCGGGCAGGGCGTGGACTACTCCTTCGAGGTCATTGGCCGTACTGATACCATGGTATGCCACCAAAACATGGGGTCACGTGAGGCATTAGCTCATTAGGAATCTCTTCACCAGCCCACCAAGCACTGAGGAGGAGGAGGAGCTGGGGGCCACTGGCAGTGTACTGAGCTAACTTCAAACTTGTTAAGTTCAGCTATCTGCCACTGAGATGCAGAAGAGAAGCACACTTGAAATTTAGGAAAAGGGACTTCATTGTAGTGCCCTGGCCTAATCAGGGGGCTACACTTCACAGAGTCCATTATCTGCTCTCCAACAATGGCTGATTGCTAACGACTAAGACAAAACGGGGGAGGAAAGCAAAACTAGGACATACCTAACCAATGAGGGCAGATACAATGGTRTGAGCAGGTACAATGGACATTTTTTAATGTGGTTTCAGTTAAAAAAAAATTTATTGCAAGCAGAGCCCTGAGAGGAGATCAAGTCCAAACTCCTGTGCCCCAAGGACAAACCTTGCCTGACTCTASGTGTCTCTCTATTTCTAATGCAGACTGCAGCCTTGGCCTGTTGCCAGTATAACTACGGAGTCAGTGTGATTGTGGGAGTGCCCCCTGCAGCACAAAACATCACTTTTGATCCCATGCTCCTCTTCACTGGTCGCAACTGGAAAGGCTCCGTCTTTGGAGGTAAGGACTTGGAAAYATGTGGTTTAACTGGCTTAGGAAACTTGTAAATCATCTTGAATGAAATAGGATATATCAAAGTCGTTGCTTGTGCTGTCTTATTGGAAGTAATATTGCTGGCTGTTTTGCTGACAAAGAAGTTGAAAGGAAATTAATTATGGGAGCTGCTCGTTAAYGGCAAGAGAAGGAAGGAAAAACCAGRAAGGGAGGAAGGGCGAAGAAAGGGAAGAGGAGACAGAAAGGAAGATATRAAAAGAAAATATAGAAAAAGAGRGAGAAAAGAAGAAAGAAGAGGGGGAAATGAGAAAAARTTGAGAGAGAAAGRCAAAAGAAGAGAAAAAKAAAAGGAGGACGAGGGGAGGGAGCRGGAGAGAAAAATAAAGATAAAAAAATAAGGAGAGAGATAATAGGAGATAAAGGATAAAAGATAAAGGAAGAAAAAAAGAAAAACAGAAAGAGGGAGAGAGGACAGAGGGAGAGGGAGAAAAAGAGCAAGAGCAAAAAGGAGAATGAGAGGGATAGAAAGAGAGACAGCAGGAGAGATGGAGAGTCAGGACTGTAAAGCACATCAGGGGTTATACCCAGCTGATTTCCAATTAGAACAGACTCCAGCTTAGCCCCTGGCCAGCTTCCAACAGTCCCTTCCCATTCTTTCTCTTCTGAGCTCTCCCTGCAGTCCTGCAATCAGCAAGTCTAGCRCACTCAACACAAAAGCCACAGAAAACTTGTTTCCAGCAACAGGTTTACTCACTCACAACTAGTTCCTCCCATGTATTCAAAAGACACCTGAATAACAGAGCAGAGASAAATCAGGTTCCTCTGGAAGAGCATCCCGCTAATCATGACAGCTTTATGTAGACACATCCACAAACTACTCCCCAAATTTGAGCAGACAATCAAGTCTCCACTTACCAATATGGATGTTAGCACTCTGGCTTTTTTATGAAATGTGTGAAACAGTATTTAATGTGGGGGAAGGTTTGGATTCTGTAAAGACTGATGTTTTTACTGGTGTTCAACTGGGTTTGTCGTATGTGGAATAGCTGCACTTTGTCCCATGTTTCCTGCTGGCACCCTATGTTACAAAGGTAAAGCCATGCAAATTTCATCCTGTTACTCTGCTGTAGAAAGTTTCTCTAAAAATGTAAGGGTTTTATCTATTTTCAGAAGTATTTAATTTCATTATGCATTGTTAATGGTGTTTTCTTCAGGCTGGAAGAGTAAAGATTCAGTTCCTAAACTGGTTGCTGACTTCATGAATAAAAAGTTTGTTCTGGATCCATTAATAACCCACACACTTCCTTGGACAAAGATCAATGAAGGATTTGATCTTCTAAGGACAGGAAAGAGGTAAACATTGTTTCACTGTAAAGGTTCTGCATAAATAACCAAAAGGAAATGTATGGTAAGACAAATTCTGACTTCATGGAAGAGAATGGGGAATGCAGCCCATCATGGCCCTTAATCCCACCCAGTGTGCTCCCTTGCGTTGCAGCTGGAGTAATAAAGCCAGCAAACCTTCAGCTCTTGAAATGCAGTGGACCCTGCAGAGGAACTTTCCTTGCAGAGGTTTGAGGAAAGACAGTGAGTGGCAGAGGGAGGAAAGACTATACAACTGAGGAAGTCTCTTCTCGTACCCACTGGAAAAGAACACAAAATGAAGGGAGCATGGGAATACCAAGATGTAGCATGCCGGGGTTAGCTACATTATATTCCAAGAAAAATTTCAGGATGAGGAGCAGGAACACAGAAATAGCCTATTCCTCTTGTCAGTTAAGGAACAGTCCAATTGTCCTAAATTGGTCTTAAAATCACTGGGTACTTTACCTTGAACTTCAGAGCTTTTAAAAAAGGAAAATACTTGGAATATATATACATTGCAGACTCAGAATTTAGGTCTTGTGCTTTCCTCAAATATTGTGAAAGCTCACCTCAGACTCTGTTTTCACAGGGTATTGAAACTAAATATTTTTTGATAAGAGACATTTGACAAAATTCACCATGGAAATTGAAAATTGTCTTTGGCAGAAGTAGGAAATGCATTTGTGTATCTTAGTATGTGTGTGGACTACCCTTTCTGAAAGTTTTAGATGTTTATAACTTACGGAGTCTGGAGAATTATATTCATGTTTTCTTTTAATTGTCATTTGCTAGCAGTTATTTTAGGTGTTACCCGCTCTGAACATAAAAAGCATGTAACAGAAGAATTTCATCCCAAGGTTTGTTTTCAGGTTCTAAYGATGCAGCAAGCACTTCTTTTTTCCCTGTCCTTATTTTAGACAGACTATAGTTTTTAGTATAACAAATCGGAAAGTGGTGAGGACAGAGATGCCATCAGCTCTGCTAGGATACAGACAGTCAGCCTGAATATGGAGGCATGTTGCAGCTGATCATTTTTACAGATTATAATATTTCAGTGTTTCAGTGCAGAATAAGCTGTACCAGTTACCCTTAGAGCCATTTGTCATTGGAAAGATGTGTCTAAGCCCCTCTCTGAGGAACTTCTCAGGCTGTAGTTGGTAATTAATTACCAGGAGCCTGGGACTTCATCAGTGAAGGCTTTACAGTCTTCTGTGAATTCTGTTCTCTACATCTGCAGCAATGTTTGCACATCTGCTCTGTCATTTTGCTGCAAGCTGGGGTGGGGAGCAGGCAGGGAAGGAATACCCTATTTGTCAGCAATAGCCCAGATTATCAGAGAAAACAGCAGTGTTCTGATGAGGTAAGCCATGGGGACTTTCTAGTCACTAACCTGTCATTTTATATTCCAGTATTCGCAGTGTCCTGACATTTTAGGATTCCCAAACATTAAGCAGCAAATGACTTAGCACAAGGACGAACTTCACCATCCTCCAATGCAACTTACATGAAAAGCAAACCAAGACATTCCTGAAAGATTTACCATCACCCTTGAATAAAAGAATCAGGCTCAAACCCCACACTTCAAGCACCACATTTATAAATGAAATAATCTTTTGCCTTCTACTTCTTTCTCTTCATTCTTGTTTTAAATCTTTTATTTTGTACTGCAATTTTTTAATAGCCAGTTATTAATTACAGAACTAGCTGCTGTCACAGGTGTTACAAAAAGATTGGATTTTTTAAAAATTACTTTAAGTATGCAATCTTTTAATAAAATAAAAATTAAGGAAACTCTTTCTTTGGGCTTCCATAACAATGCAAACTTAAGAAATTTATGCATGCAGTTCAGCACAGTAAAACTCTAGTTTAGAACTGTGTATTGATCCTGAATGACTGCATCATTCCAGTGCCTAATAGGCAAGGAAATTATAACATGACCATGTGATTGAATTAATAATTTCAGTAAATGATACTTAAATAAATCATAGACTCAGGTACTGGAGAATGTCTCACCACGGGGTATTTTACCAGATGAACACTCCCAAACATTTMATGCAAAACTGCTGTGTTGTTGTTCTGCGTTGCGGTTTGTGTTTGGTGTTTTGGAGGTTTCTTTACCTTTGTGCCTCTTCCTTGGCATTGTTTTAATTGTTGATCAGAGTGGTTTTAGATCTTAGGCCAGTTTATACAGGTTCATGTGATGTCTGGGAAGCAATGTGAAGAAATATGAAGGTGCATCAAGTACTGGTTTTTGATTCCATTATACAAAGGGGAGGCCTCTTAATTTCTGAAGTATGAATACAGGACAAATGGGAAGATACAGGTGACTGGTAACAGTTTGCAACAACACAAACATAAAGCATCTTACTGTTTTCTGAATTTGCAATGTGCAAACAGGAACAGAGGCTCTTTCTGTCTTGGGAAATATGGTCAACACTGACATATCTTTAGCAAGGACTAATCAGAGCTTGCAGGCAATCACACACATGGCACCAGGGTAGAAGAGCCCTGGGGACTGTGTGCTACTGATGACTTACCTGTTTGTGTCAGCAAAATGTCTTTGAGTGGCCCAGCTAGTTTAATGATTTGAGGACAAGAGATCACAGTTTAATGATTTGAGGATCACGAGATTACAGTTTAACTGAAAAAGATCCTTAAACACATGTATAAATTAAATTTACACAACAATTGAAACATGAACTTCAGTCATCAAAGGGGGGAAAAGTAGAGCTAGAGAATAAAGTACAACAAACCTCACTTCTGTCCTCTTCAGGATGATGCAAAGCCCATTTTTGTTGTTGCAATCTGCCAAGCATAGTAAACACCAGCTGTTAGTATCTTTATTACTGTTTACTTTTACTTTATTACTTTATTAGCTGTTACTTTATTACTATTAGCTGTTAGCAGTATAGTAGCTAGAGTCCAAAATAATAAACCCATGAAATCATTCTTATTATGGACATTTTATAAGGCAGCCATCGAGATCTGTCTTCACGTGGAGGAATGAAATGTATTTTGACTGGGAAACAACAAAAAGCTCATACTTTCTGAGAGCATTTTGCCCTGCAGAACCTCATCAACATTCAGCTGAATTTGTTTGTGTGATTGTATAGCATGAACAGAAGGTGTCTGACGGACCTTCCTAATGATTCTGGCTCTGAAGTACTCCAGGGGGGTCCAAGGCAACATGCACAGCTCTGTGTAAGCCTCCATTTGGGAGCTTTCCTGGGAGTGAGTAGAGACCATATTCCCCATCAGAGCACCAACTGTCCATCAGCATATAATGACACTATTAAAAATCCACAAAAGAWTGAAAAATCTGGTAATTTCCCAAGAAGCAAAGATAAATGGCATTTCCTCAGACCCTAAACTATGCCAGTATTTAATGACCATCACTTGGCTTTGTGTACAACCGAGCACTCCCATGTTTCTGCTCTCCCACAACATCCCACCCACCCAGACGCTCCCCCAGGAAAGGGCACATGCTCCACTGTGCAGCTCTGTTTTTACATGCTTGTAAGATCATAGTTCCTGACAGTGCATCACAGCCAAGTGATCATTCATTCTCTCACAGCATAATCCCATCCATGGCTTCCAGTTTATCAGATGGAGAGGACACATCTCAGTAATAAAAACAACTGTGTTACACAGATACCTGGAAGACAAGAAGTCCATGTTTTGTTCAGGGGTTGTCACATCTTTGGACAAGTGAAAAAAACTGCTCTGGACAAGTGAAAAAAAATTCTTTTACAAGACACATAAATCATCCTAGAAGTCATGATAGATTTATTTCTTTTTTAATGCAGCAAGCAGACCAGGCTGAATACTGAAAATCTTTAAAACTTTATTCTAAAACTCCTTATTCCTGGGAAATTATGCATCATCATTGCTCACAGTCTGATTGAGGCTACTAAAATTGTGCAAAGAAATGTATGAAAAAGTAGAAATTTCTTGGGAAATCATGTGGAAACATCCCTGTTTACCTGAAATATAGATAAGAATGATCCACAAGGATATGTCTTCTCTTAGTGCCAGCTGCTCACCTCCAAGACAGGAGCATATCATCACCTAGAGACTGGGTTGACAGGGCTGGGGAACTGGGTTCCAAGAAGCACTTCCATGTGCCTGGAACCACATGGGTTCCATGTGGAACTACAGGGTTGCCATGCTCTGTGCGAGAGCTCAGACAGCTGCTGGGACAGGGTAGTGCAGCTGGGCTGTGTCCCTGAAGCTGGAGATAAGTTCAGGGAACCTGAGAGTTGGGTWCTCACGCCTGCCAATTCCAAGTCCTGCAGCTTCTACTGACATTCCTCCTTGGCGCATGAAACAGGGCTGGGATACTCAGCAGCAACCACCAACACAAACCTCTGTGAGCAGTCCCCTGAACATATAAACAAGGGGCTGACGTTTTCCCAAGCACAGAAGCAGTGCCCAAAAACACATAGGGCTCGTCTTAGCCTGCTCCTCCTAAGAGGTTCTTGCTCATCCCCTCTCCCCTATACAACATCTTGTCCAGTGCCTCAGCAGAAAATAGCTCTGGGGGAACCTTAAGAGCCTGGGGAGAGTGAACCCACTCACAAATCTGGTTACTTGTAAGTGAAGCAAATGTGTCCTTGTTAAAAAAAATTTCTTCCTGACATATTCTGCCCTTGCTACTCAGGGAAAAATAGCTGCACTACCACAGAGAGTAAAGCTTTAACCCAGAAGGCTGTCTCTGTCCATCCCACCATGTTTTCACTCCTTTCTGGTTTTCTTTTCTTTAATTTTTAACCTTTTTGCAAATATTCTGGCATGAATGGCCACCAGGTCAAATGCTGCAACTTGGCAGAAAAATGGACCCCGAGGAAGCCCTAGCAGGGCAGAAGCAAATTTTCTTCTCCACAACAGCCAGAACCACTGCAAGAAATAAACCAATCTTGCTGAGTTCTCTTTAGCTTTCAGACAGGGAGGGCAGGGAACAGCCCAAGGGCAGGGCCAGCTCTAAAAGCCTCCCTAGAGGACTTGTGCCCCCATCCATCTCCCTGCCTCTATCCAGCTCCTCCCCTCTGCCCTCGCGGTGCTGCTCAGCATCAGCACCCGACACAGATTAACCAGCGCTCTCCAGCGACGGTACCGCGCCGGGACCGCTCCCGCTCCACGCCTGGGGGATTCCACAACACGGGACGAGGCAGCTTCCCTCCAGCCTGCGACAGCGACCCACGCAGCTCTGCTGAGACCACATGGCCACTGCAGGAAAAGTAAGGACATTGCATTTCCYATCTTCCTTTCCGAGGTGCCCTGCTCTTGGGGAAATCCTCTGCAAAAGGCTCAGCCCGCTCTGCATGCCCTCTTTCCTCTGCCCTTCCTCCCACAACTCTTCCAAATCCCTGTGAATTACACGATCTTCTACTCTCGGGCAACTGCATGTTTCTATACCTCCGTTGGGTGGTGCATTCCTCCTTTGTCCGGCCCAGCAGCTCAGGAGACAAAATAGGGAATTATGCTGCTCTGAAAATCACCATCCTGCTCAATCTCACTCTGTGCTCCTGCTCTGGCAGCAAACACAGCTCTTCAGTTGTGCCATCTCCAGCCACGCATGTCCGGCACTCAGCCTTGTCCATGGCAATACCCTTTGCAAGCTGCAAGATCAATTTTGCTGAGGCCAAACAGCTTTGGGTTGAAACAGCTCTTTGGTTGAAGAGTTTGAGCAATGTCAAACACAAATCAAATCTTGGTAAGGGAAAAAAATTATCCAGTTGCCAATCAGATGGGGACTGTTCCATAGTCCTTCTCACTGACCTTCAGCTCATTATTTTACAAGCTATGATACCAAAGCCCATAATAGGCATTTCCACTAGGTAGGATCCACAGTCCCAATGAGAGCACAATCTGGCCATTAACCTATGGAAACAWTATGAAAAATCCAMCAAARCCATTGAAATCCAGTATGTTTCTAAAATTTTACCTGATACTCTTTGTGGGAAAAACCACAAATGGGGTTTCCTCAGACCTTAAACTAGGCCTGTATTTATTGAACATAATTTGGTTTCAGGTGCAGCTGAAGACCACCAAGTTTGAACCCCTCAGGTTCAGCTGATTGCAGTGATGCCCAAAAAGGCTAGAAATAAAACCACATAGACTGGTATCTATAGGGCAGGTATTTGTTTATTGCAGCGCTGGGRTGCAGCGCYGGAGGTGAGAGGGATCTTTCCACCTAACTCCCCTACCCTCACTTGAAACTATCACGTATTTATGTTGAGCACTACTTACTACMGTAGTGCTCAACATTGTCACTGTCACTACATCCACCACTACATATGGGTATGGCAATACGAGGCATCACAGTTCTGCAAGTGCATCTGCGTCATCCTCAATTCGGCAGTCGCGGGCGTCTCCCTCTAATGAGAGACCATAGTCTTMRTCACTGGTGGACTTTTCAACTTCATCCTCAGAGCATGTGCAGTCATGATGGTTTTTTCTAGTCTTCAAGGTCTTCATGTTCAATTKTCTGACCAATTGTCCTTACACTTGCCAAGTTCTCTTCAGTGCATCCTACTGTTTCTTAATCTACTTGTTTAATTCTGCAGTACAGTTACCTACTTTYTGAAATATTCTTCCTGGCGATTCTACTTGTCCAAGATTCTTCCTTGGCTACATTGCATCAGTAACTATGGCTATATTTAGCTGATACACTGCACGCTGATAATAAACTATAGGAAAATCTACAACAATATATGAAAAGGTGATTATTGATAATATATGAAAAGCTATTATATATTGATAATATTCACAAAGCTATCATATTGTACATAAAGTTTTCAATCAATAGGTCTTATAAGCATCTTGTAACTTTGACTTAAACCATGTAGGTATCAGATGGATGATTTCCCCCAACCATGTGCTAAAGACAAATGTTCCCATGCAGTGTAATCCTCTTGGTTGCTTCCAGGTTATCCGGTGCAGGGCTGCTGTTGCCTGGGCCCCCGGCAAACCTCTCTCTGTTGAGGAGGTGGAAGTTGCACCGCCAAAGGCAGGGGAAGTCCGYATCAAGGTAAAAAWACATTTCAGTACTATTTTCCTCCTTTGGTGGAGTTGCTCTTCATGTGGGTATACCTTGGATAGAACTCAGGGATCTGTGTCCTCCAAGAGGCTTTAATTGTCCAGGGCTGCCTAAGTTCAAATGCACCATCTGCCAGCGGCTCCCTCTAAGTCTAATCTTCACCTAAGCTGTCCYAYAGGAATTCCTGTCTCCAGCCCTTGCTCAGCTGGACAAAATCCTGGTACCCACACTGTTCCTCCTTCMCAGTTCTACCTCCAGCTCAGAAAGAGAAAAGCCACATGGAGCACTGAGAGTGAGCAGAAGGGGGAAGCCCAGCCTGGRGACAGTGTGCTGCCATGGAGTGTCAGCACTCACTGAGGGGACAATGTAACAKTGCCCTCATGTAACTCATAACAATGTGAAAATTGCTTCCACAAACTGARTATGAGGGAGGCCGAGACATTACTCTTTCTTCTCCAAACAGATTGTGGCCACTGGCATCTGTAGCACAGATGACCACCTTCGACAAGGCTGCTTTCCTGATGCAGAATTCCCAGTTATCCCCGGCCACGAAGGAGCTGGAATTGTGGAAAGCGTTGGAGAAGGAGTGACCTCTATGAAACCAGGTAACTGACACGCACAAACGAACTCAGCTTTCACAGACAGCTCTTAAGCGTAGGGCCACTGCATATGGGATGTTGTTTCTTTCCAGGGGACAAAGTCATCCCACTTTGTGTCCCTCAGTGTGGGAAGTGCAGCTTCTGCCTGAATCCTGAATCCAACTTTTGCCAGAAGGCCACGTGAGTTTGCTTTGCCTTTCCCTACAATCCCACCTACACGGGGTTGACCTTATGACGAGCCTGAGACCCCCATCTGTGTTTCAGTCAATGACATACAAATTTATGCATCCCCTACAGTTTCTCTGAACCACAAAACCTGCTGCCAGACAAGACCAGCCGCTTCTCTTGCAAAGGGAAGCAGATCCACCACTTCCTGTGGGTCAGCACCTTTGCAGAATACACCGTGGTCCCAGAGTACGC